TTCTTTACTTAAACATGATAATTTCACAGGCCCACCCCCTTTAATTGCCTTTTCTAAAAATTTGCCACCTGCAAGATTTTAATTTTTACAGTTTTGGGTAACCTAAAGGTTTCTTAAATAGAATCTATAAAAATATTTGGGGTGATCCAAAATCAAACCTAAAAGGTCAATTTTTGACTTGTGTATGTTGTCGGAGAAAATTGTCAATTTATGATTATTTTTGAATAAAATAATTGTTCTGTGTGCTTTGTAAGCTCCTGGTAAAATAAAAATATATCCAAACCACTCAATTTCAAAGTACTTAAAAATTCATTTTCTACATGTATATGCATTTCCTCAAAAAGAAAAAAGTCACATGGTTTATTTTTTTAAGAGTTGATAATTGTTTTCCACTTTCCCGCGCTTCTCAAACCATCAAGGTGTAAAAAAACTTAAGCTACCTATTTTTATCTAGTTATGTAATTTAAACTTTTTTTTATTTACAATAACAGGGATGTTGCTCATAATTTTGCTTACTTTCCGAGATTAGAAGAAACTTTTCGATAAAAGTAATAATGTTAAGTAAAGTGTGATCATAATTAAGAATAAAAAATTTATAAAAAAATAAAAACAAAATTGTATTATAAGAACAAAAACTTCCTTGATAATATGCCAAGTACTTTGAGGATCATTCGAGTGATTCGATTAATTTAAAACCGACCCAAAGAGTCGTTTGTAGTTTTTATAATTCGTTTCATTAATTACATTTGATAAAAACTTATGAAAATATTTCACTCAAGAGTTGTTTATTAATCTTGCATTTTTGGTTTATTTATTTGAAAATCACTCTTTACATTTTTGAGAAAAAATGAATACGGGAAAATGATGAGAAATATCTGTTTTAAATATTCCTGTTTTTATCTTTACATTTATTAAGTCATTATTCCTGTTTTTATCAATTCAAAAACGGGTTGCTTACTGCTAGTAACTATAAAAAGTACTTCAATACATTAATAATTACATTATTAATGTATTGAAGTTGAACATTAATAATTACATTATTAATGTATTGAAGTTTTATTTTTTATAGTTACTAGCAGTAAGCAACCCGTAATACGGTTGTTAGTAAATAAAATTAAAAAAAACAACCGCGTATAGAAAAGCCTAGAAACTACTTAAAAATAGAAAAGACGTAAGTATTAGAGAAAGTGACGTAAGTATTAGAAAATGACGTAAGTATTAACTAGAAAATGACGTAAGTATTAACTACTACTATTAAATTAGCGTATTAGTATTATCAGATGCACATGGGTTTATTGACGATGTAATTATTTTCAAAGATGACATTTATTAGTGTCGTAATCATCCAACATTTTAGCAGTTTTTTTTTTTTAAATTAAATTACTTTTAATGACACTTTTAATGTGGACTTAATGGTTTTAAATGATCCGGAAGGTGGTCTCAATATGGACGATAATGTTAATTGTGGTTTTATTAACAAGTTCAATGCAAAAAGACTCATAATTTCTAGTGATTAGCATAAATCTGATTTATTTTTATTCAATCGTAGGTTTTTAATAAAAGTACACAAACCCCCGCCTCCATTCTCAGATGCTCTAAATTGGTGAATCACTCTTTAGTTTGGTATATAAAAGTTGCAATTGCTCTAAATATTTTTGTCATTATACCATGTTTTTGCTGAGAAAAATAATTTATTTAACAAATATTTGTTTTATATATTATTGATTTTATATTTATTGATTTATAAAATATACAATATGTATTGATATTACTGTTGATATTTTAATAACTTGTTGCTTTTACGTGACATTTTTTTTTTTGTTAATGTTTACGTTTATTATTTAAAGAAAAACATACTAGATGTTTAGAGTGATAGTTTGCTATTACCAGAAACTTCAAATTAATAAGCCAATAAATTCAAAAAAATGCATAAAAACTGAAACACTTTAATCTTCGATAGTCCAGAAAAAAATGTGTTTTTTAAACGAAAAGGTTTTTCGTCAAACTTGCATGAAATTAAAGCCTTGGGTCCCGCTATTATCAAAATTAGATTTTTAAAACCTTATTTTTTAAAATAAGTCTCCTATTTTATTAACGAATTTACTCTTTTTATTTTATATATGTTTCGTTATTTTAAAGTTCATTGTGGTTTAACTTCCATAAAATTCATGAACTACACGGTTTAACTTATATATATTAAACTATAATGAACTTTATAAAAATATAAAGTTCATTGTTGTTTAACATAACATAGGTAGGGTTATCTGTTGCACAAATTAACACAAAAATGCGATAGACCAAACTTCAAAATTGTTGTAGTTGTGCTTGCAAACAAAAAATTCAGTTGCCCCAACGATACATACCTCTTGGATTTATACGAAAACATTTTTCTTCTTAATAACTTATTACTAAAACTTATACATTTTAAATTAAAACATTTTATTGTTTTTATATATTAATATCAAACAATGTGTAAAAAAAAAACTTGCAAATTTTACACTTTACATTATTCTTCACCTTCAGCGACAGAGTTCAGAACATAAAAACACTACTTCAACGCACGCCGTTAAACAAAGACAACAATCGCAAAATAATTGAATACAATTGAATCTTGGGATTATAACTTCTTGATCTTCCACTTCGTGTACAGTAGATACTCGAACTATTAATTGTTCTTGAGTTTTCTCATCTTGATAACTTTCCATTCTTTGATCTTTTTAAAAATTGTAAATGCTAGGTAGAAAATTATTTTTGACTTGTGTATGTTGTCGGAGAAAATTGTCAATTTATGATTATTTTTGAATAAAATAATTGTTCTGTGTGCTTTGTAAGCTCCTGGTAAAATAAAAATATATCCAAACCACTCAATTTCAAAGTACTTAAAAATTCATTTTCTACATGTATATGCATTTCCTCAAAAAGAAAAAAGTCACATGGTTTATTTTTTTAAGAGTTGATAATTGTTTTCCACTTTCCCGCACTTCTCAAACCATCAAGGTGTAAAAAAACTTAAGCTACCTATTTTTATCTAGTTATGTAATTTAAACTTTTTTTTATTTACAATAACAGGGATGTTGCTCATAATTTTGCTTACTTTCCGAGATTAGAAGAAACTTTTCGATAAAAGTAATAATGTTAAGTAAAGTGTGATCATAATTAAGAATAAAAAATTTATAAAAAAATAAAAACAAAATTGTATTATAAGAACAAAAACTTCCTTGATAATATGCCAAGTACTTTGAGGATCATTCGAGTGATTCGATTAATTTAAAACCGACCCAAAGAGTCGTTTGTAGTTTTTATAATTCGTTTCATTAATTACATTTGATAAAAACTTATGAAAATATTTCACTCAAGAGTTGTTTATTAATCTTGCATTTTTGGTTTATTTATTTGAAAATCACTCTTTACATTTTTGAGAAAAAATGAATACGGGAAAATGATGAGAAATATCTGTTTTAAATATTCCTGTTTTTATCTTTACATTTATTAAGTCATTATTCCTGTTTTTATCAATTCAAAAACGGGTTGCTTACTGCTAGTAACTATAAAAAGTACTTCAATACATTAATAATTACATTATTAATGTATTGAAGTTGAACATTAATAATTACATTATTAATGTATTGAAGTTTTATTTTTTATAGTTACTAGCAGTAAGCAACCCGTAATACGGTTGTTAGTAAATAAAATTAAAAAAAACAACCGCGTATAGAAAAGCCTAGAAACTACTTAAAAATAGAAAAGACGTAAGTATTAGAGAAAGTGACGTAAGTATTAGAAAATGACGTAAGTATTAACTAGAAAATGACGTAAGTATTAACTACTACTATTAAATTAGCGTATTAGTATTATCAGATGCACATGGGTTTATTGACGATGTAATTATTTTCAAAGATGACATTTATTAGTGTCGTAATCATCCAACATTTTAGCAGTTTTTTTTTTTTAAATTAAATTACTTTTAATGACACTTTTAATGTGGACTTAATGGTTTTAATTGATCCGGAAGGTGGTCTCAATATGGACGATAATGTTAATTGTGGTTTTATTAACAAGTTCAATGCAAAAAGACTCATAATTTCTAGTGATTAGCATAAATCTGATTTATTTTTATTCAATCGTAGGTTTTTAATAAAAGTACACAAACCCCCGCCTCCATTCTCAGATGCTCTAAATTGGTGAATCACTCTTTAGTTTGGTATATAAAAGTTGCAATTGCTCTAAATATTTTTGTCATTATACCATGTTTTTGCTGAGAAAAATAATTTATTTAACAAATATTTGTTTTATATATTATTGATTTTATATTTATTGATTTATAAAATATACAATATGTATTGATATTACTGTTGATATTTTAATAACTTGTTGCTTTTACGTGACATTTTTTTTTTTGTTAATGTTTACGTTTATTATTTAAAGAAAAACATACTAGATGTTTAGAGTGATAGTTTGCTATTACCAGAAACTTCAAATTAATAAGCCAATAAATTCAAAAAAATGCATAAAAACTGAAACACTTTAATCTTCGATAGTCCAGAAAAAAATGTGTTTTTTAAACGAAAAGGTTTTTCGTCAAACTTGCATGAAATTAAAGCCTTGGGTCCCGCTATTATCAAAATTAGATTTTTAAAACCTTATTTTTTAAAATAAGTCTCCTATTTTATTAACGAATTTACTCTTTTTATTTTATATATGTTTCGTTATTTTAAAGTTCATTGTGGTTTAACTTCCATAAAAATCATGAACTACACGGTTTAACTTATATATATTAAACTATAATGAACTTTATAAAAATATAAAGTTCATTGTTGTTTAACATAACATAGGTAGGGTTATCTGTTGCACAAATTAACACAAAAATGCGATAGACCAAACTTCAAAATTGTTGTAGTTGTGCTTGCAAACAAAAAATTCAGTTGCCCCAACGATACATACCTCTTGGATTTATACGAAAACATTTTTCTTCTTAATAACTTATTACTAAAACTTATACATTTTAAATTAAAACATTTTATTGTTTTTATATATTAATATCAAACAATGTGTAAAAAAAAAACTTGCAAATTTTACACTTTACATTATTCTTCACCTTCAGCGACAGAGTTACTAACAACCGTATTACGGGTTGCTTACTGCTAGTAACTATAAAAAATAAAACTTCAATACATTAATAATGTAATTATTAATGTTCAACTTCAATACATTAATAATGTAATTATTAATGTATTGAAGTACTTTTTATAGTTACTAGCAGTAAGCAACCCGTTGACTATGGTTTTTAATGACACTTTATGGTTTTCAATGACACTTGGTTTTTAATGACACTTAATGGCTTTTAATGACACTTTTAATGTGGACTTAATGGCTTTAATTGATCCGGAAGGCGGTCTCAATATGGACGATAATGTTAATTGTGGTTTTATTAACAAGTTCAATGCAAAAAGACTCATAATTTCTAGTGATTAGCATAAATCTGATTTATTTTTATTCAATCGTAGGTTTTTAATAAAAGTACACAAACCCCCGCCTCCATTCTCAGATGCTCTAAATTGGTGAATCACTCTTTAGTTTGGTATATAAAAGTTGCAATTGCTCTAAATATTTTTGTCATTATACCATGTTTTTGCTGAGAAAAATAATTTATTTAACAAATATTTGTTTTATATATTATTGATTTTATATTTATTGATTTATAAAATATACAATATGTATTGATATTACTGTTGATATTTTAATAACTTGTTGCTTTTACGTGACATTTTTTTTTTTTTGTTAATGTTTACGTTTATTATTTAAAGAAAAACATACTAGATGTTTAGAGTGATAGTTTGCTATTACCAGAAACTTCAAATTAATAAGCCAATAAATTCAAAAAAATGCATAAAAACTGAAACACTTTAATCTTCGATAGTCCAGAAAAAAATGTGTTTTTTAAACGAAAAGGTTTTTCGTCAAACTTGCATGAAATTAAAGCCTTGGGTCCCGCTATTATCAAAATTAGATTTTTAAAACCTTATTTTTTAAAATAAGTCTCCTATTTTATTAACGAATTTACTCTTTTTATTTTATATATGTTTCGTTATTTTAAAGTTCATTGTGGTTTAACTTCCATAAAATTCATGAACTACACGGTTTAACTTATATATATTAAACTATAATGAACTTTATAAAAATATAAAGTTCATTGTTGTTTAACATAACATAGGTAGGGTTATCTGTTGCACAAATTAACACAAAAATGCGATAGACCAAACTTCAAAATTGTTGTAGTTGTGCTTGCAAACAAAAAATTCAGTTGCCCCAACGATACATACCTCTTGGATTTATACGAAAACATTTTTCTTCTTAATAACTTATTACTAAAACTTATACATTTTAAATTAAAACATTTTATTGTTTTTATATATTAATATCAAACAATGTGTAAAAAAAAAACTTGCAAATTTTACACTTTACATTATTCTTCACCTTCAGCGACAGAGTTCAGAACATAAAAACACTACTTCAACGCACGCCGTTAAACAAAGACAACAATCGCAAAATAATTGAATACAATTGAATCTTGGGATTATAACTTCTTGATCTTCCACTTCGTGCACAGTAGATACTCGAACTATTAATTGTTCTTGAGTTTTCTCATCTTGATAACTTTCCATTCTTTGATCTTTTTAAAAATTGTAAATGCTAGGTAGAAAATTATTTTTTTGCTATGCAATTACTTGTTATACGCTTCTAACATTTTTCACTTTTTATCCATTTAATGTGAATTATTCTTTAGAAATAACAAATCTTTATTTTATACTTTTGCGAATCGTTTTCTTAAAAACAATTTTAAATTTAATTTAAAAAATTCACGATCATAAAATAAATCACCGGAATTTTGAACATCTTAATTACCGCAGTGACGAACATTAAAAAAATAAGTTTCAAATGTGTTCATTTATTTAATAAAAGTAAGTTTCAAATGTGTTTATTTATTTAAACACCAACGTAATTTAAGTTTAATGATTGTAAGACATAACTTTAATTTTTTGTACTGTTCTACAGAGTAGGTGTCACGTGGGGGAGGGGTGCCATTACCACTTTTGTAGACTTAAAAAAAAAGGTCCTCGATTTTTAAAATTTGCGGACTGCATATCGACTTTTGCCTACTGACTGTTGTGGCCTTGTTTGTGCCGACTATGATTTAGTGTTGGGGGGAAGGGAAGTGACATGCACCTCCCATATCGCCGGCCCTGCTGTTCTGTTTTAAAGACAATAGGTGAGTTTGTCGTATTTTAGTCAATATTAACAAAGTTTAGAACATTTTTGATGGGATACATTTTTTTTTAATGAAAGTTTTTTCAATTGAAAAAGAATTTTGTTTGTTATAACAATGTCATTTAAATCAAATAAAGCTTTTGACGTAAGCAGTGCCGGACTAGATAAATATATTTACCGTAACAAATAATTAAGAGGCCCTCCCGACCATACATATATTGCCATAACATAAAAATTGAAATCACACTAGTAAACTTATAATGAATTAAAAAAGTACGAAGTGATGTGGTATAGAAACCCACTAATAGTATAAATAATGAAAAGAAAACTTAATTTAAATTTAATACAACCAATTACTAAATTTTAGACGTCACAAGTCATGCGTATATGACGACATTTTTCAGTAATGTAGCTATTAATGTTATGGACAGCATTAGTAAATCTTTATTTTATTTAATAGTGACTTCATTTAAAACATAAAATAAATTTCATCGTTTGATAGTGATGATTTGGTATTAGGTAGGGTTGTTCGCCGAAAAACAAAACTTGCGAAAATTTCGCACCTTTATCTACCGTAATAGAATTGTTATTGCGGAAGTTGCACATGCAAAAATGCACATTCCGTAACGCGCAATACGAAAATATAAATAAATAAAATTCCGTAATAAAGCATTGCAAAAGAAAACTTGCGAAACAAATCATTTCGTAAGAATACTTACGAAATAGTTCCTTACGGAAGATGCATTCCGGAATGTGCAGTTACGAAAAAGACGCAAAAGATTTTATGTTACGATATATTTAAGATATTAACTGTTAACAGTTTAAATAATAAAATTATAAAAAAATGTTGTCAAATGATTCTTCAAATGTTTATACAAATATACCTAATATATATATATATATATATATATATATATAATATATATATATATATATATAGCTTACAAAGCACACAGAACAATTATTTTATTCAAAAATAATCATAAATTGACAATTTTCTCCGACAACATACACAAGTCAAAAATTGACCTTTTAGGTTTGATTTTGGATCACCCCAAATATTTTTATAGATTCTATTTAAGAAACCTTTAGGTTACCCAAAACTGTAAAAATTAAAATCTTGCAGGTGGCAAATTTTTAGAAAAGGCAATTAAAGGGGGTGGGCCTGTGAAATTATCATGTTTAAGTAAAGAAACCTGCATAAACTCTGCAAACCTTAAATTTTTACTAATATCAAATATTGATGTTCTCCCAAAAAAAAAAAAAAATATTTTAGGAACGTAGAAAATACAACGATTTCGGGGCACCGACCCCAAATATGGTAAATAAAAAAATTTCAAATTTTTTTTTTTTTGTAAAATCTTACAGTAAATAAATTACAGTTCAAAGGTTATGACCAAAAAATGTTATACTCCCACTCCCCCTTCCAAAAAAATGAGGAAGTTTAACATAAAATAAAACTTTCACAACTTCATAATATAAAACTACATATAATAAAACTTTCATAACTTCATAAACGACACCGTAGGTTACCATCGCTGATATCAATGGTAACCTACACAACCTTCAACATGCATTTTGCGCGGTCTTGGGGTACTAAGATCTGACAACCTCAAAGTGAAAGTACAAATAAAAGCAGCAACTTCGGCCGAAAATCGAATGTTTGGTTGCCTCAAAAAGACATTTCGATGCCATAGCCTCAAGCTTTGGAAAAAGTTGTACCAGCTAAACGTTCGACCGCATCTAGAGTTTTGTGTACAAGTCTAATCTCCATATCTTAATTCAGAAATCGTCGTTCTCGATCGTGTGCAAATTCGTGCAACAAAGACTATATCGTTGTTTAAACATGTTAATTATTAAAAAAGATTACAAATGCTAGGTCGAACCACGCTGGAAGAACGCAGAATTCGCAGTGACCTTATACTGCAATACAAAATCGCTCATCAGTTACAAAAAGTTGAATTTTACATACCACAAGTACTGCCTTTTTTATTAAATTCACGATATAATCTTAGAAGAAACAGCCGATGTTTAAAACCACAACTGATCAAAAGTTATTCAGAACGTCAGTACTTCTTTACAAACCGTGTTACGAACCAATGGAACAAATCAGCTTAGGATGTAGTTGATTCACCCACAGTACACTTTTTTAAAAAACACGTTTAAGATGCTGTTTCGGCTGCAGCAATATCCATTGTCAGCATAGGAAAGCCTGGTGTGCTTCCCTTCATTAATTCTAAACTTTATATGTGGAAGTTGTATTGATTACTGTAATAAATAAATTAAAAATAATATAAAACTATAAAAAAACAAAAAAAAAAACTGAAAGGGGCTCAAAATAGTTAAGGGTAGCCGTACGTCATTGCAATCTTTTCTTAGAGCTACTTTAACAAAATTTCAAAAGAATATCGTAATTTGAATTAATATACGTAATAAAATTTCAATAAAATGTCGTAATAAAATGCGTAGTGCATTATAAGATTATTATGCAACAAACAAGAAGTAGAAATAAAGCAGAACAGATTTTTAAAAAATTGTTCAGAGTACTTTAACCAAAATCTTTAAAAAATTTTTAAAATTTTTTAAAGATTTTGGTTAAAATACTCTTATTTTAAGTTTTAAAAATTTCTTTTTTTTGTTGTAACTTGAATGAACTTAACGAATTTACTATACCTTTGAATACGTTTTAAACGGTATTCCATACTTTTGGCCCTCGATATAAAATGCTAAATTTCTAATTTATTAATTATCCGAGGCAGTTTATATGTTTTCATTATATTCTCTTATAGATAATAAATTTCTTTTTTATTTATATCAAACTTGTTATTTAATTTTGCGAGAGATGTTGATAAATATTTATTTCATATTCATTCATCGTTTTCATATCTTTAATTAAGGTTTTAGCGTATTTGCGTCTATCTTTAAAGTAAATGATTTTGCAACCATGTTTTTTTGAACTTAAAAGCTTGATGTTTGAGCTCATGAAATGTTTGCATTGCTAATGCACCAATGAATTAGCAAAAAATAGAATAATTTAGAACTTTATGTATTAATGTAAGAGCAAACTCGATACATCAAATCTATAGTTTTGACTATTTTTAACTAGTGTAAATTATATAAAGAATCCAGGACAACTTTTCATCAACAATAACCCTTAAGTATCTTATATTGGATTGTTTTTTAATTAGTTTGTCATTTAGGAATAGGTCAGGCAACTTAAGAGGAAGATTTTGTACTTGTGTTGTTTTATGAAATACTATATAATTTGTTTTCTCTGCATTAAGCGAGAGTTTTTTTAACCCTAACCCAATAGTATACTTTATTTAGTTCAATATCCACAAACAGTTTTTAATATCTTTGTTAGTAATAACTAGATTAATGTCATCCGCAAACATAAAGATGCATTACAGAAGTCATTTATACAAGTTAGCTTTTAATCCAGTAATGAATTTTATTAGTTATTCCGTAATGTCTTAGTTTACCTAGTAGGATGCAATAATCCACTGTATCAAATGGTTTTGATAAATCAAAAAATACTCTTAAAGTAAATTTATTTTTTTAAAAAACAATATTTAATAGGTTTACTATTTCAATGATTGCTTGCTCAGTCGAAATATTTTTTTGAGAAGCAAACTGATTTGGGTAAAAAAAATTGTTTTTCATGAAATAATCATAGATTTTATTATAAACTACACGTTTGAATAGTTTTAAAATTACAAAAAGTATTGATATAGGTCTGTAGTTCGAAAAGTATTGATATAGGTCTGTAGTTCGAAAAGTATTGGTATAGGTCTGTAATTCGAAAAGTATTGATATAAGTCTGTAGTTCGAAAAGTATTGGTATAGGTCTGTAATTCGAAAAGTATTGATATAAGTCTGTAGTTCGAAAAGTATTGGTATAGGTCTGTAATTCGAAAAGTATTGATATAGGTCTGTAGTTTGAAAAGTATTGATATAGGTCTGTAGTTCGAAAAGTATTGGTATAGGTCAGTAATTCGAAAAGTATTAATATAGGTCTGTAGTTCGAAAAGTATTGATATAGGTCTGTAGTTCGAAAAGTATTGAAATAGGTCTGTAGTTCAAAATGTCTAAATAGTCTTAACATTTGTATAATAGAGTTTTTTTTTTATTTGTATAATCAAGTTTTAATAGAGTTAGTTTTGCTAAATTAAGTACATCCGGAAAAATCCCAGAATTTAATGAAAGTTTAAATGAGAATACTCTTAAGACTGATTGCAATAACTCACAAGATATCTCAAAATACCTATTGATATTTCTGAGATATCTAGTCATATAGCAGGTCTGTTTCCAGCATTTTTTTGGTTTTCAAGATATCTAACTTCCCGACATGGAGCAAACTCCAAACATTTATATGTTTATACTTATGTCAAATAAGGATGCTTTGCAAAAAATTGCGATGATTAGAGCTTGGGAACAAAAAAGCCCAAAAATTTGTGCTCCCCTTGCCCCAAAAGTGAGAGCAACAAGTTGACGAAATATTTTTTGTACTATTTTTAACTAGACTTATATTCATCGATAAATTTTAAATTTCATAGTAAAATATTTCAGCATTCAAAACTTTTGACCATATAAAGTTTACACCCCCTCAATTTGAGGGGGTCGCAAATTTAGTATCTTGATAAG